TTGGAAACATTATTTCCACCAATTTGGAGATTTTATTTACTTACCTCATCTATATCCCACCTTTCTCCCCAACAGGGACCCAAAGCAGCTCCCGTCATTCTCCTCTCTTCCATTTCATCCTCTGGGCCCAAAAGAGACAGTGTCTTCTCCGTTTCTTCAAATCTCGTTTTTGCTCCCAAGTACCCTTTTGGAAATTTAGAAAAAAATCTTCTCAACCACACATCTGTATATCTCCACCCTCCCCGTCATTTAATTGGGCACAGTTAAGATCAGATGAGGGTGCCCCCCTCCCCCCAATTGTAGTGCAGCCGCTTCAGCCACATGTCCACATAAATTGAGGATTTGTTTGGGGATTTTCATGGGTGCTGAAGGGCAATGTAAGATCAGACGAGGGTGCCCCCCCCCCCCCCCAATTGTAGTGCGGCCGCTTCAGCCACACGTCCACATAAATTGAGGATTTGTTTTTTCATTGGTGCTGAAGAGCATTCTTTTACTGGCTGAAAGAGGAAGCAGAAAACAATTAGCATTGAAAGATTTAGTGTGGTGTTCCTGTTTTTTGGTCTTTGTCTGAATAATTATCGCGACTGGAACACCCGCACCTCCAGGCTTCCTTTAACCTTTGTGGAGAGACCAACGGTGATTGTTTTTGAATGGGGGGGGCACTCATTAGACATGCCGGTCTGTTTAGAAGGCTAATGCTCCGTCCTGTTCTGTTTAAATGCACTTTTTCCCCCCCAGGCACAAAATAATAAGGCTGTGTTTTGTTTGACTTGATTGTAGACACTTCTGGCCTCCTTTGTCAGGTTCAAGGTAGCTTTTAAAATATTAAGGCATTAGCTAAAAATACACAATCAATAATAAACCAGCATAGCAGCCATAAAGTACACTGTATTTTATGGTTGTTATGTGCTGAGTCTCACAATAAAACAGTGCCGTTAGCCAGGCAAGCCAAAAGCCAAATAGAAGAGATGCATCTTACGGCCATTCCTAAAAGTGACTGAGGACCCACAGATTTCTGGGTCAAATCCATCAGCGGCCGTGGGGCAATTGCTGTAAAGAGCCTGTTTCTTACCATGCTGGATCCTTGCTAAAGTTGGAACACACAGGAGGGCCTGACTCTAATGTAATTGGAATGGTCCTTAAGATACACGAGCCCCAGGTGACAAAGGACTTCGGAGGCTAATAGCAGCACATTTAAATTGGTCCTGGAACCATAGACAGAGAAGTACAGGTGGCTCAATCTAGGCTGGATATCGAATTGAGTTCCAGCTCATGAAATTTCATGCTGGAATAAGCGCTGTTAGTCTTTTAAGCTGTCATACGACTTCTGTTTTATTTTGCCATGATAGATTAACCTGGCTGCCATGCTAGACTTATCAAATTGCAGCCTCTGGCATTTTGGATCTTTTTTTACTGGTTATAATATATAATACTAGTTGGTTTATAGGCAGATCTTTGGAAGTGCTTCCAAGATACCAAAGTATATGCATGTATTTCATGTCTTAAATTGCATCGTGCCCTTTGTTTGAGAAGCATGGGCAACTATCTGTGGGGATTATCATATTTCCCAACAACCATGTGAGGTATATCCATGTGAGGTATATCAGGCTGATCAAAGGAGAACCAGCTTTAGACCCTATCAAGGCAGCTTTTCAAGAGTTTGAGACCAGCTCTGTCATCTGCACCAGGCTGCCACTCCACACTCTTGTCTGCTCTTGGTGACAGCAGTGCTTATCCATAGGCAGTTCAAGGCAGTGAATGATGCTTTCGATCACCATAAGCCTCACCTGTCAGAGCATCTCAACTGCAACCATCCTGCCTCCATCATTGCACTAAAATGGCGGGAGTGAGATGGGGTTCTTTTGGTCCCAGCGGGTTGGGATGTGGGGCTGGTGGGCTGTGTTTGGGTTGGCTGCGGGCTTGCCTGCAACGGGGTGAGTTTTTATGGAGGTGGTTTCCCTGCATTTGGCCTGTATCACTTCAGACTGTCATGTGATTCAGTGCTGGGAGGAAAAAAGGCCCTGGACTGGGGCCCCACCCCTGCCCCCAAAAGAAGGGAGGGAGAGGCAGGCTGCCTGCCCGTGGCCCGACCCCGCCCTCCCAAAGGGGAAGGGGAGAGAGGAATTGGCCGGGCACCACCTCCTTTGCTTTGTGCAGGGCTGGGCGGGCTGGACACTGCCTTTCTACCACTTGGCTGGCTTAGCCCAGGTGTGTGTGTGGGGGGGCAATCCATGGGGAGACATTCCGGTGCCCATAATTTTCAGTCCGCCCCTGTTTTCCTTACAGAAACTTTCCTTACATGTTAAAAAGTAATATGATAAGGCCAGACTGAGGCTAGAATCCTTCGTTATGACATCTTGTTTCTAAACGTCTGCTCCAGATTGCATGACAAGCCCATTCTTCTTTCTGAGAAAGCAGAACCTTTGTGTATTTATGAAACACCGTATTTCCTGCAGACCAGATTTCTCTGCTTTTGCTTCCTGCCTGGAGAAGACTGTGCCCTGCCCAGCAAGTCAAAGTAACAGCCTTTCTTCTGTTCCTCCGCTTTTCAGCAACTCCGGTCCCAAGCTCGGGCACTGATCACTTTTGCCGGGATGATCCCCTACAGAACATCAGGGGATACAAACGCAAGATTGGTTCAGATGGAAGTCCTCATGAATTAGATGTTTTAAGACTCCTGCCGCCTGCTGTTTCATGCACTCCGTGGACGGGTCCAATTAGAATTTTTTTGGTTTTTGGTTTTTTTGGTATTATGTATTTTTGTCAACCACAATAAATTTCTTTGGTTTATATTTGCTTTTGACATTTTATTTTATGTTCACCAATTTTTATGTTTTCTTATTTGTTAATTTCCCTTTCCCCCACAAAAATTTCTTTCCCTGGGGGAGCGGGGAGAAAAGACCATTAATTGGCAAGCTGGAGCTATGGAGACAGGTACTGTATCTTTATCTTCTTTGCTAAGCATTTCTATTAAGCAGCTTACTGTCCAGTTCCATAACCCTGAGTTCTATAGCATAATCAGCCTTTCCCAGGACAGAATAAGGAAAATTGGGAACCGATTTTTACGCTGTTTTTAAGTTCAACAGCATTCCATTCTATTCAGTTTTTATGTTCTCCAGAAAGTGTCCTTTTTCAAATAACTTTCTGAAGGAGGGTGAGGAGGTTTCAGGGTAAGATACAGTCTCTTTCTTGACTTTTCTTAGCCGAGGTTTTGGGTCTTGTCATTTCAGACACATGGCGTGCTAACTTAGGGGAGAATGGGAATGGCATGTTATAAGAAGCATGAGCTGCCAGTTAAAACAGCCGCTGTGTGTCCTATTTTCCCCCTCACAATATATAGGGCAATTCACTTGTGACATAAAGCCAAATGTTTCATTGCCAGTGACAGCCACTGACGTGGAGTATGGGTAGAGACATGCACGTACATGAGGTAAGTCGCACTCTGAATGATGGCAGAGGAAGGATTTGATGCAAGGCTACTTTTTTTGGCAGCAGCTGTGGTTTTTATACCACTAAGTTTTGCATTAGTGCTCCAGCAGCCCCAATTGCTCCAGCAGCCCCAAGTGGAGCAGCCATATTTTAGGAATGCCTGTGGAACAGAGAGGCTCACTGCAGTATTACACAAAATACTAGGACACGACTCTTGAATGATTTGGTGTAGCTGGGGGGGGGGGGGGGGCGGACAAAGCATCCTGTGTCAACCCTGCATGTAACATCCTGTTACATTTTATAGCAAAGAGTCTTTTGGCTCCTTAAAGATAAAAACTAACTTTCTGTGGCATGAAGTCCACTTTAGTAGGTCCAAGGAGAAGAAGATATTGGAGATGAAGAGGGGATTGGGGGAGGGCTGTCTCGCAAAGTAAGATGAATACATAGGGTTGGATCCTGACAGCTTTTCTGGCTGATCTCATCTAGTTCTCCTTCTCACCTCTGCCCCTACCCCACATGGGTTTTGGCTATGTTGGCGGTCATCTTCCATCACTTGGAAAGCTCGTATGATCCAGTCCACAGGGTTGGATCCCACATCTTGGTCTGGGGAAGGCTCCCTCTATCAGAGGAACATGCTTCTACTATTGGAAAGGTTCTGACTCACCAACACCTCCTGAAAGCAGGGAGACTCATACATGACTCAATGAGTTACGGAGTCAAGCAGTACGGAAGCCAGAGTGGGTCAACCACAGATGGTGGATCCGAGGGTACCCACCCATTTCAGACTGTACCCACCACATAAGAGATCATCACCACGGGTAATGTCCTAACCCAAGTTATGATTATGGCCTGTGGAAATTGTGTCAGATTTGTCAGTGAATCCAACAGCTATTCAAATTCTTTGAAATGTGACATTTCCACTGCAATGCTGGAAAAGGGTAGAATCTTGGAGTGGGACCCAGGCTTTAACTTGACTCCTTATTGACTTGCAGTATTTTTACTTTTTTGCAGGTAAATGACTATTGGGCTTCAGCCATTGCTTTAAATGTTTTGTTCTGACCCAATTTAAGCTAATGCTTTGGGGACCTTCTTGTAAATTCCCATTATTTTTGTTTTAAGGTGGGATTTGCTCTGATCCCTTAGAAAAGCATCAGGGTTTTTTTTCTTTTTGTTTTTGCTCTCCCCAGATGGACATTTTTCCTAGATCCATCCCCCACCTTCTATGCTGAAGTCAATCTATAGTTCTTGCTTCCACTTCCTAGTAAAACTGGGGAGATTGGTATCCAAATTGATTAGTAAGTATATTTCAGCTATATTCCCTTTAGAAGCTCAAAAGCAATTCAAAAGATGTTTTCTGTCTGTAACCATACTTATGTAACAGTCTGACCTATACATCTAGTTTGAAAAAAATTGAAAAGTGGAGGTTTGCTGTCGCCCTTTTTAAATACAGCTTTTGCATATGATATATGTTGATCTATAATCAGTGTTTCTAAGATATCAAGATTTCCTCTCCTTATCTGAAGCTTCCCCAAAACTATCCTGTATCTGTTCATTATTAATATTGAGGTTAAATGAGATAATCCTGGACCTAAGTCAAGCTTTACAGTATACCAGATATGCAATACAGAATTAATAATAGGGTTACCACTGTCAAGTTTTCCTCTGTACGTGGATATAAGATTATTTTAAGAAAAATAAGTCTCAATATGTCCTTGGCTTACAAAAATTAGATTGCTAAAATATGCTGGATTCTGTGGAGGTCTCAATCAATTCAGTATTTACAGATCTGGAAGCAACAACTGGTTCTATCATGGAAGACAATCGTCTTAAAACTTACAACGGAATTAAAAATGAATTGGCATTTTGGAAAACACTTCATCGCTCATGGGTGTGGTAGACTTGCTGCATTACCAAGGATCTTATTTTTGTTCAGTTAACTTACCTTTATTAGTGAAACCCTCTATTCATAAAACGTGGGAGAAATCATTTAACAAATTTATTTCATTGGGAAACATCCTAGGATGCCTAGGAAGATGTCAACCAGACCATTGAACAAAGGGAATGGGCGGGGTTATATTCTATTATAAAGCTTCTAGAGCCAGAAGTAACAAGCTGGTATAAGTCTGATAAGGAAAATTCTGTATTAGAAATGTCACTTAAAGACAATTTAAAGTTAAGAGATCTGGTTTGGTGCCAGTGGGAAAATTCAATGTGTTTATATATTATTTATTTATAGGCTGTCTTTATTGCTGAGAGACAGGGCAAATTATACAGTGTAATACAATGCGATCGAATGATAGGAGACATCCAACAAACAATGCAATAGGACTTACAAAAATTAGAAATAATGCAAAGAAAGTATCAGACATGTCATAGAGAATGCAAAAAGTGGAATGACAGGCATAAAAAACAAAGTAAGAGCAAGGCAGTAACATACAATGAACAGTGGATTCCGCTAAAACCCTGTTCAAAGCCCCCCTTTCCATTATGCTATAGTCTTATTTCTTTTATAAAAATGGTCTCTTGAACAATTCTGTTTTACAGTTTGCAGAATGAGAGATGTGGGGGGGAAGTATGGTTTTTATAGTGCTAAAAACGTAAGATTATTTTTTATATTTAAAATGTTTATTTCCCACCTTTTCATAATGCCCAAGGCTGCTCACAAAATATAAATATACCCAGTTAAAAGCATAGTTGAATCTCATTATGAATTTATTATTATACAGTGAAACCAATGGTAAACTGAAAGAAGTCCAGGCTCCATATTTCCAGATTAGATTTTTACAATATATACACACACACACACATTTGAAAAACTTGTATCAAGAAAAGAATTATACTGCTCTTTAAAGCCTTAAATCCTAAACCATAAATTCTAGGTGATACAGCAGGGATAGTATTAAAAAGCAATCAAGAGTTAAGGTCCTTTTTATTTAAAAAACACTCCCACATTTCACTGTCTTTGAACTTCCTGCCCATTTATTTCCACGCAGCAACCCCCAAAGGAACACTTCAACAGACACCAAAATAGTGCATATTTCATATTGAAAAATCAGTTTGTTGTCTTTGTTTTTGAATTCTGCAAAAATTGGGAGGTCCAGCAGCACTGGTTCCACCCAGTGATTTATTCTTTGCAAGTGTGTCCTTTATGCCCTGACCTGGACAGCCCAGGCTGGCCCCATCTCCTCAGATCTCAGAAGCTAAGCAGGGTTGGCCCTAGTTAGTACATGGATGGGAGACCATCGAGCAAGACCAGGGTTACCATGCAGAGGCAGGCAATGGCAAACCACCTCTGAACGTCTCTTGCTTTGAAAACCCTACAGGGTTGCCATAAGTGGGCTGTAACTTGACGGGGAAAGAACGGTTTACTTTAATTGTCCCTTTCCCTAGGTGTGAGTAACATTAGAGGCACTATCAGGATTCTCCCCTGGTATATTTTGATGTCTGGTTGCCTTTGCAAGTCTTTAATGCTCTTAAAGTGGAGTCTAATTGAGTTACGTCTTTAATACTAGAAGAGATGGAGTCCCATGGAGAGTCATGGGGGGGGGGCAGATGGGAAATTCCCTCCGGTCCCGTCCCAAATGTCTTCCAGCAAAAGGCTCTCCTAGGCTTGGACGGGTTAATCCTTTCCCCTATTCCCTTTGCTTTCCTCTCTAATACACTTGTAGCTTTTCTGAACATTTTGAGGACAATGAGCATGCTTAGACAGGCTTGGGAGGGAGGGGGAACTTGGAAAAAAATCCAGTATTTTTTCTGTACACCTACAGAGTCTCCTGAGTATGCGTTGAGAGGGATGCTCTGGCAAAGCATTCCATCCTGCAGGGGTGGGGTGGGGACTAAAAGGTCCTTTGCCAAGCTGCTGATTTGTGTGTCTCTCTCAATAGCCTACTAGTGAGAGCCGTTGTGGACAGGACATCCAGTTTGGTCTGGGGAGACTTTCTTCTGAGGAGAGGCTGGGGCCTGTCACTGTCTTGCCCTAATTTACTTGTTCAGAGAATGAATGAGGGGGGAACAGGAGCCATGCACCCCCCCACACACTCACACAGCACTTAGGGGAGTGTCATGTGCCCATATCCCTATCCTAGAATATGCCTTTTTAACCTTTAATCACATTTGCCATCAAATCTGCTTGTGCCCCTGTCTGTAACCCGACGTGGTGACCCAGCAGACACCTGAACAAAAGGAAGCACTTCTGAAATAATTGGTTTTTTGGACAGATTGCAAGGTTATCTGCAAACTGGTTTAGCTATTGAAATGAAACAAGGAATAAGCAGGTGAAACATTCCTTTGCTGGTGCAGGTGCAAGACCACACCCAGTTTGTGTGTCGTAGTTC